TATATATATATTACACTAGTATATATGTGGCATATATAAAATAAAGGGTTAGTAACTCTTTGTTGAATAAGTGGATGAATGAATGAATGAATGAGTGAATAGCTTTCCACTTCTTAGAATGAGAAACTACTTGGCCTTTTCTCTAATCTGAAAGGCCTTGGTCAGAGTGACAGCAGTTCTTTCCATAGCCAGCAATGCTGGTATTATATTGAACTACCTCTTATGGAAGGAGAAGCCTAAATATGCAATAGCAACAAAAGCAACTTCTCCTTACTAAATCCTCAAAAAATCTCCTAGACCTAGTACAGTACCTGGCTCACCACTGTATAGGTAAGTTTTTTTTCAATTCAAGACAGCCTTCAGTTGAAAACCTAAGCAAGAATCAACCATCTGCAGTACTCTGAGAAAATATTTTTTTCATAGCTGTGATATTCTTAAATTAAAATTTATATCTTGTTAGTGAAAACGCTCTGTGTGGTTCTTAGCCTTTTCTGACGTTTAAATTACATTAGGACGTAATTTCTAATTGCCTCCAAAGAAATAATAATTCATATTTTGTGGTTAATCAGTGAAGAAGGGATGGTAACATACTTCAAATTTTATTTATAGAAAAGATTATACATTATTTTTATATAGAATAATGAATAGGTTATATTTAATTAGCATTCTAGATTTAGATTTGATGAATTGAATCAATTTCTTAGCTTTCTAACTTATCCTTAAAGAGCAAGGTGATACCATAGTCTCATTTTAGATGCATGACACAAAGATTTTTCTAATGTACAGTAATAAACTCATATGTGTGTATACATATATAGGATAAGTCTTTGTAATTGTCGACATAAGGAAAAGTACACTATTTCATTTGATGTTATGTGTCTGTCTCTATGGGAGTTAAAATATGAACTATTTTGCCCAAACGTACTAGTATTCAGGTTTGTTAAAAGGATGATATTAAAGTGGTAAACATTGAGAAATGATAAAGTTCAGCTTTTGAAACAAATTCCTAACTTATGCCAGGAGATTCAGTTTTCTCTCTTTTTATAAGACAATAAAGGCCTTGTCTGATTTGCAGTGAGTAAGATTCCATCTATGAAGACCTTGTCTGTTCTGCAACGAGTACGATTTCATCTGTATTAAATTTGTAAATATAATTGCAAGAAATATTATCAATTTCCATGCATGAATGCTGAGATTGAAAAGCTAGTATTTTGGTGTGGACTTACTGCAGTTTAAAGGTGAAAGAATAACTGTTAGAGGTAAATTTTATGCATCGTCGGTGTGGATGTGAGAATTTCAATTAGCATTGATAGAGGCTGTTTGTCTTACTCCTCACAGACAGTTTCAGGTGGGTGTTTTTCTTTAGTAAATTAGGCTGACATTTTTCAGAGAAATTGCCTGTAGTAAATTCTTACTATGGATCTTCTTACATGTGTATGTACAGAAGCCAACTTCCCATGAATATGTTAGGGTCAAGAAGTCTAATTCTGAGTTTGTAATCTGAAGCGTGTTTGCTGTTGCCATCTGTTGGAAGCAGGCTATTTTTGCTCTAAATCAATGAAAATTCACACTTCTGAAGCTTTTATGCAAAGGGGTATCTGTGCTCTACTTCTACTAAATATCACTTTTCTATACATTGAAAGATCTGGGTATTAGAAGTTAAGGGGCAAACATGTTCCTCTTGTATATATAGCAATCCTTGGGTGAAACGTCCACACAAGTAGCATGCAGCTCTGTACAAGCCTGGGAGTCTGAAGGACTTGGGCTTGAATTCTGCCTGTGGTGTTGACTGTGGACACATTGCTCAGCCTCTTGGTCTGGGTTTTCTCAACTATAACATGGAAAAAATAACACCTACCTCTGGAAATTATTGTTATATTTTAATGAGACGATCTATGCAATGACCATCAAACAGCTGCACACCAACCCTACAAAAATCATTTCCAGCCACATTTTCTAAATGAGGAAACTAAGTCACTATAACTCATATTACTCAAAACCTGCCCAGTGATTGAAGGGCAGCTCAACTCCAGATTCATGCTCCCTCCTGTGACACTTGTCGTGGAAAGTATGTTTCCTCAGTCTGTGTCGCCAGATTTGTTCCTCTGGTGGAAGCGACCTCAGTATCCCCACAGGCCAGGCACTCTCTAGATGCAAATCTAATCTGTCATTCTCACTGTAAGTTTGCTGCAGATGTGTGCTCTAAAAAGTTGTATCTGTTCTTCAACCATGAAATCAGATGCATTTTCTTTTTTAACAAGAGTCCTTTTTAAAATTTTGAAACGGTAAACTTTGAGGAAGAATATCAAGGAAAATGGTGTCTCAGAAATATCCTAAAAAGTAGCTTCAGAAGTCACTTCACTTTGCTCCCTTACTTTTCCCAGCACCCATTCTCAAAGGGCTAATCCTGCTGCCTTTCATTAGGGACATTTGTTTGTATTCTTTTTCAAATGAAACCATCCTGGGAATTTGTTTTCAACCATAGCCATTTAAATTAATTAATTTTATTTTTTAAACTTGTCTTTCAAATGCCCAGTTGTTAATTTTAAGTGAAGTTTCTCCCTGAAAAGTGCTTTAATGGGCCTGTTCTTCTGGACAAAGTTTTAAAATGCTTCAAACTTGTTTGTTCTCCTTTCTGCCTAAAAACATTTTCAAAACTGTCATCATTTATTCTGCATTATATTAATGCAAGTTTGCCAGCATTTTCTGTAGTTTTCCAGCATGAATGTAGTGGAAAATGAGTCCGTATTTATTCATATTGCTATTCACATAATTTATACCTGCACATTTTGTAAAAACAATTTTTAATAATAGAGTTCTGCCTCAAATGGTAAAGAACATACAAATGCAAAGAATTTCCAGCTTATAAAAAGCTTTTGTTCCAGAACTAATGAGATTTTGATTCACATTGAAATAATCTTGCTGATATAGCTTCAGTCACTTTGGTTTACAGGTCTTTATAGAGTGCC